GAAAATATTGATATCTTTCAACCATGATTATTTTTAGGATTATGATGATCACTTACTGAGTAGCCAAACTCATCAAACCCTTACCAAAAATGTTAGGTACCTTAGGACAAAAATGCCCTCAACAGTTATGTAAAGTATAAATAAATTTTATTTTTTTTAACGTTAAGTATGTTTCTGAACTTCATGCGGTGAATCGACTTTGCTTCATTGTTTTTTTAGAACAACTTGAGGCCGGTTTGTCACTCTAAGTGCCATATAGACCTTGATTTACTATCCTTTGTTCCATGCGAAGTCACTTTGGTACTTAGAGTGCGACTTTGATTCATTTGTTTTAGGGTGCGGTTTTATAGAGCCAAAGCTCTAAACATTCAAAGTAAAGCGCACCTTCAAATAGTGTTAAGGTTTCAATACTGAAAATCTTTGTGACAATCTCAAAATATATTTTCATTTCTAATTATAAAATTTAAAGCTTCAAAAATAGTGTAGATCAAGCAGATCTATAAAAACTCGAAAATTTTGAAAATTGACGGTCCAAAAATACATTATAGGATGCACTATTTTTAAAACTTGAAATCCATTTTTTTTCTTATGTTCATGAATCTTTAGGTCGAGATGATCAATTTGAGGATATTTAAGCATCAAAACAACCTCTTTTAATGAATTTTTTGAGGTGCCCCCTAATTTGATTGTTTAGAGCCTCACACTTATATAAATTTTTTCCTTTCTTTTAACCTTACATTAGTTTGGTACTCGAGTAAGGATTAATGGGTGAGGTTTGTATAAGGTGCCCTCTATTTACTGTAGAAGTATGACGCATCTTTAGAACTCGTTTGCAAATGTAATTCTAATGTCGAAAACTCTATGATGGCTTTAAATTTTTTTTTTATCCGTAGTTATGAAATTTAAAATTTCAAATAGTACAGATCAAGTTGATCTATAAAACATTTGAAAATATTAAAAATTGACGGTCCTAATAACTTGTTATGAGATGCACTATTTGTAGGATTTGAACCGCTTGCTTTTCTTTATATCCAAACATCTCGAGATTAAGATGACAACTTTGAAGGTTCTCCAATTTTAGAACACTCTCTTCTAGAGGATATTTTAGGATATATTAACTTTTTCGAAAAGAAATTGAACCAAAGTTGATTTATTACTACATTCATTTTTTTAACTTTCTATCGTGTTCACGATCACTCGCATTTTTGTCCGAAAGTCCTCTAAAGTTTCACTTAGGGCAAATTTGAACATTTTTTCTACCGATTGGTAGTTAATTAGTGGAAAAAAAACTCCCACACCTAATCACATAAAAAAAAAATTTATTTAAAAATAATTTCATAAAAATATTCTCACGTGTCCTTAGGTATAGATGCAAAAAAAAACATTGGGGTTTTTATGCATGACACTCAACCTAAGTGGCACGAGCCCAATGATGAAATTGTCCCCACTTGTTCTGAGATTAATATCCAAGACACATGAATTTTCATTAAAATATTTTGCCTTGCCCTGGTTATAGAATCCAGAATAAGTAGGGGATTTTTGTAGTTTGGCACACTATTGCTCTAGGCCAGATCGCTAAATACAAATGCTAGTTTAGGATTCAAACCCATGTTAAAAGCATTTTAGGTTTTCACTTATAAAATGCTTGAGAAGTTACTCAAATAAAATAATTTTTTTCAAAGCAACCATTTTGTTGACAAATTCGTTTATTCGATCATCTCAATTATTTGTTGAAGTGGTTTGGCCGTATTAATGCTTCGGAAAACCCTTAAAAATGCCATGAGGCGAAAGTGTGTGATTTTTGCATGAAAAATTGACCATACCTGACATAGTATGTCCGGTGGGGTCGATTTATCCATACCATCCGAAAAAATCGGATGGGGCCGAGCTTATGAGCGAAACATTGTACATTTTTCCCATAAGCAGTGTATAGTGGCTTCTTAATGCTTATCTTTGTTTAAATAACAAGAAATTCTTTGCTAATATAGTTGGGATAAAACTTGGATGGTGGTAATGATTCTTATATGCTAATGTCTACCCCATAAACAATGCTAAAACCCAATTTCCTAAGTGGTGCTAGCCACTAGGAACTGTTTGAATGTGAGTTTGCAGCATAGTGTACAACCCCATAATAATTTTTTTATTTTTTTGGATAATTTAGTGCGGAAGAACTGTTTGAATGTGAATTTGCAGCATAGCATACAACCCCATAATATGTTTTTTTTTTTTTGGATAATTCAACGGGGAAGATAGGCACCTACCCATTTTTTCGGCTAACTTAGAGAATTTGCTTTTTTTTTTTTTTTTTTAAGGTGTTAATAGATGGCGTCAACAGAATTGAAAATCACAACGTGTTAACTCGATATGCAGGGGTGCTACCACCGCGACGACCCAGTCCCTTAACAAGTAGTTGTTGTGAAGAAAGACAAGAAATCTGTGGGCTTTGCATAAAGAAATGTAAAAATTTCCCTAAATATTGACTTTGCATAAAGAAATACAACTGGTATCAAGAAAATAAAAACAAATATAACGATGTACCTATCGTGCACGCAAGTACTATCTTTATTTTTGGTTCATGGGGGCTTCTGTTTGGATTTTAAACCCACAAAATTAGCGATGTTTTATTACATCTTATATTAATAAATGTCTTTATAAAAACAGAATCTCTAAAAGTTGGTGATAAAGCATCATGTTTTCATGAAAATATGATCCTCAAATAGATAATGATATAGGTGTTGGAGTGTAATGTATGTCTAGTACTTTAGCCTAAAAAACCAATATAACAAGATAAATTCATATAATTATTATTGCCAATATAATAGCTAAGTTTATATATATATATAATTCATATTTTTTTATATATATATATATGTGGTTAGCAATGATAGGGCCCATGAACTAGTATCCCCGCTTCTCATCCATCATGTATCTCTATAATATCCTCGTCTCAAAGTGTCTAAGCAAAGGATACATCTTTGTAAGTGTCTGGTCAATATGATTCTAATAGAATTTTCTATTGTCTATATTTTTAAAAAAATTTATTATCATCATAATCATCAAGTTTTTTTTTAATTATTTTAGATCGACTACATGAATCTTGATCTATCATTCTACTATTTAAAAATTCAATAAACTTATTTATCATAAAAAAAGATTGGATTAGGAGGTAGATTAACCTGAAGGGTCAGTACCTGAAAGTCTGTATATATGGTCACACTCCTTGATTGACACAGGTCCCTAAAGCTTAAACTATGTTGAATAAAATATAAAATAGATACAATTACATATTGTGTTACTTTCATTCATGTATAAATATGCTCACTTCCAGTAAATCTTAAACGTTATAGTTCTCTTACTTTGGTCATTTTTACTTGGCAATTTCTGCTGGCTGCCGAAGATATTGACCCTATCTTATTTATAAGATGAACAGGAGTGTCTGTAGTTCTTGTGCAAAACAACACAACAAGGACACATCATTGTGTCTGATACTCCAGAGTTTAGAAACCTCAATGCTTTTTTCTGCACAGTTCTTCTGGACATTTCACTTTTAATGGTGTTTAATGTCATAAAAGTCCCCAATCCCCCTCCTTTAGTGACACACAATTATATTATATCTGAAAAAGCCAATTTTGAAGTTGGTCTTTTTAACACTCATATTTGTGTCAGACACTGGTATCTGTGCCAGTTAATAGAGCCTATGAAAGATAACACTGCAAAAATAATAAATGTTATGACCTTATAACTAAGCTTGAGTCAGAGGCTAACTGCAAACTATACCAAACCTCCTCTCCCATAATCTTTCTATATTTCACCTTAACACAAAGTAATAAAATCATTTGCAATAGAGGTATGAGAGTTTAACATCAAAGAAATGAAAAGACCAAAACAAAAACCCTTATATCCCTTATTACTTTGGTAAATATAATCAGAATAGTTTACATGATGACGGAAAAATTTTTCTCACAAAACTTGGTGAATCACCAATAATCACCAATAATCCATACAAGAACACACTCCATCTTTAAAATGGTGGAACCTATTCCTGTCTCTCACTACAATTTCTCTCTTATAAACCCTAGAGATCATTTTAGTAACACTATGACAATCCCCACAAACCCTAAGGTTCTTCACAATTCTAATAACTTCATCAGAACCCAAGTGCAAGAACCCAAAAGCAATGGCCAACTTCTCACTGTGCACTGATAATGCATGCTCCTTCTCCTCTTCACCTATATCAAACAATACTTGCTTAGTATCAGGCTCATAACCACCTTCAGTCCTTAGTCTTTTAGTAATCTCATTTAACATGGCATAGATAGCTTCACTCTCATGGTGCATTCTATCTGAGGCTAAGAATTGGTGAACAATCCCCTTAATCTCTATCATGCTCCAACCTGGTGATTTTGCGACTCCTCTCGCCTTCATCATATTTCTCACTCTTTTCGCATCCTCCCAGCGATTCGCAGCTGCATAAATATTCGATAAAAGTACATATCGACCGCTGTGGTGAGGTTCGAGCTCGATTAGTCGGCGACCAACCCATTCACCAAGCTCTACATCGCCATGAATTCGGCATCCTCCTAAAAGTGCACCCCATGCACTCGCATTAGGCTCCATGGGCATGCTGCTTATGAGCTCGATTGCCTCATCGAGCAAGCCGGCTCGACCCAAGAGGTCAATGACACACCCATAGTGCTCGACCTTGGGCTCGATGCCGTAGTCATCGCACATGGATTTGAGGATACGGCATCCATCATCCACCCACCCAGCATGGCTACATGCACTTAACATGCCCACAAATGTGAGATCATCAGGCTTAAATCCCATGTCGTGCATCTGTACAAAGAGGTGCATGGCCTTCTCAGCATAGCCATTCATGGCGAAACCAGCTATCATGGTGTTCCATGCCAAGACATCCTTCTCTTTGAGAATTTCGAAAACCTTAACCGCGCTGCCAAGGTTTCCACATTTCACATACATGTCTAACAGAGCAGTTCCCAATATGGCATTGAGCCGTACTTTTTCGCGATCAATATAATTGTGAACCCACTTGCCCTGATCGAGTGCACCCAAATGAGCACAAGCAGATAATACACTCACTACTGTCGCTTCAGTCGGCCGAATGTCATGTGAAAGCATTTGTTTGAAGAGATTCAGCGCTTCGTTGGATCGGCTGCTTTGTGCATAACACGCGAGCATAGAGTTCCATGAAATCACATCTCTCTTTGGCATTTGATCAAAGAACTTTCGAGCATTTTCAACATCACCGCACTTTGTGTAACCAGCTATCATGGCATTCCAAGAGACTGTATTCTTTTTTGGATTTTTATCGAACAGAATTAGTGCCTCTTCAATTAGGCCAAAATTCGCATAACCATTCATCATGGTGTTCCATGAAACCACATCTTTCTGTTGCATTCTATCGAATATGGAACGAGCACTCTGTAAATCTCTTGATTTCACGTACCCATCGATCATTGCGTTCCATGAGACCACCTTGAAAGCTAAGATTTTTCAAGTGAGTTATTTGTGATGAGAGAGAGAGAGAGAGAGAGAGAGAGAGAGAAAGAGAGAGATACAGTCTGTAAATGCAATCACTTAGGCACAGAAAGGCAATCTGTAAATGAAGTCAAAAGACTGTAAAATCCTAAAAAATTTCCCATACCTCTTCTTCAGAAGCCTCGGCAAAGAGCTTGATCGCTGCGTCGATTTTGCCTCCACTTGCATACATATGAATAAGAGAGCTGAGAACATAGGCATCCAACTCAAGCCCAAGTTTGATTACATGGTTATGGAGTAGAAGCCCTGTTTCCACGGCTGCAGCTTCAGTGCAAGCTTTGATCACAAACGGGAAGGTGAAATTGTTCGGTTGGGTGTTTTTGCAGAGTAATTGGGAGTAAAATACAATGGCTTCTTTTGGGTTTGAGCTCATTGATAAGCCCCTGATCATGGAGTTCCATGTAAATATACTGGGTTCTTGAATTTGAGCAAAGATTAGCTTTGCATGATCAATTGAAGCATAGGGTGATACAGCACAGAAGGCAATGAGGCGACTTCCTGTGAAGTTAGAGCGAGAAAGTCCTTGTATTATGATGTGGGCGTGGATTTGCTTGAGTTGGTTCATGTGGGTGCATGAGTCTAGTAGTGAGAGAATTGGAGGGAGCTTTCTTGCTATGAGAGGACCAGTAGTCATGGAGAGTTGAATTGAGTTTGGTGTAGAGAGAGAGGGGAAGTTCAAATGGAAATGGGCTTGGGTGTAGAGAGAGAGAGAGAGAGAGAGAGAGGGAAGGTTCGAATGGCAATGGCTTTGGAGTAGATCGAGAGAGGAGAGGTTCAAATGGAAATGGAGGGAAGAGGTTCAAATGGAAACGTTTTTGAAGTGAAGGTCTTGTCATGAAGACGGGGCCACATTCAAAAAAAAAGAAAGAGGGAATCTCTCTCTCTCTTTCTAAAATGGGGATATCACTCTCTCTCTCTCTCTAAAATGGGGATATCACTCTCTCTCTCTCTCTCTCTCTGTTAGAATTGATGAAATGACTTCGTTTGAGGCTTTGAGCTCTCTCTTAGACGAAGGTGGTTGCTTGATTGAGAGGATATTTACTCTCACACACAGTGGATCAGATTTGAGCTCTCTCTCTCTCTCTCCACGCACGCCATCCCGCAAAATGGCTTCTTCTCTCTCTACCATGCTTGCTCATCTCCATCACCCAAGCCTTGTCCAAGCCTTAGGCTCCTTCACCACCATGCTCGAGCTCCGGCAACTCCATGCCCATATCACCACAGCGGGCTTATCCTTCGACCCCTTCACGATTAGTAGGCTATTGGCCCTCTTTGCGATCTCCAATCATGGCGACATCGATCATGCCCAAGCCATTTTCGCCCATTTCAAAAACCCTACTCCATTTATGTATAACACCATCATTAGAGGCTTTTCTCAGAGCTCTGAACCAGTAAAAGCTATTCAAACCTTCAACCAAATGCTCAGTAGTGGCATTTATCCTGATAATTTCACCTACCCATTTGTGATCAGGTCTTGTGCAAACCTATCTCACCTTCAATTGGGGTTTGAGCTTCATGCCCATATTGTAAAAACAGGGCTTGATTCTGATATATTTGTGCAAAATAATCTTATAAATATGTATTGCTGTTGTGACAGAACTGATGTAGCACGCCGAGTGTTTGATGAGATCACTACCTTAGATGTTGTGTCGTGGACGACCATGATTACTGGTTATGGAAATTCCGGCGAAATTGACGCTGCGAAATTCCTTTTGGATCAAATGCCATTGAGAAACACAGTCACATACAATGCCATGATCACTGGATATTCGAGATCAGGTCATTTCGACGAAGCTAGAAAAGTGTTTGATGAGATGCCTAATAGGAATGTAGAATCATGGAGCACCATGATCTCTGGTTATGTTCATGGTGGTCTCTTCCGAGAAGCTCTCGAGCTGTTCAGAAAGATGTTGGATCATGGATTTGCTCCGTCTGAGAGTGCTACTGTTAGTGCACTATCGGCTTGTGTTCAGATGAGAGCATTGGACAGTGGCAAATGGGTGCATGCATGCATAAAAGAGCATAAGCTAAAGCTCAATGTCATCATTGGAACTGCACTAGTAGACATGTATGGCAAATGTGGTAGCATTGAAAATGCACTTTCAGTCTTTGAAGTAATGCCCATGAGAAATGTGATATCATGGAATTCTATGATCACTAGTCTAGCCCTGCATGGCCATGGCATGCACGCGTTGAGCCTCTTTGAGAGGATGGGGGCCATGGGTGTGAAGCCTAATGCCATAACCTTTGTTGGGGTTTTGAGTGCTTGTAGCCATTCGGGCTTAGTCAAAAAGGGTTGGTTTCACTTCAATTCGATTTCGAAGGTCTATGGTATCATGCCCACTGTGGAGCACTATGGGTGCATGGTCGACCTGCTTGGTCGGGCCGGTTTATTGAAAGAAGCCCTTAGATTCATAGATTGCATGCCTATCAAACCACACCCAGGTCTGTGGGGCGCCTTAGTTGGTGCCTGTAAAATTCATGGTGATTTCAAGTTAGGAGAAGAGGTGGGTAAGCGCTTAATCGAGCTAGAACCTCACCATAGTGGGAGATACGTGATCTTATCGAACATATATGCATCAGCTCGGAAATGGGATGATGTTACGAGCTTGAGGAACTTGATGAGAGAGAGAGGAGTGCTCAAAACACCAGGGTGGAGCTCGGTTGAAGCCAATGGTGAGGTGCACCATTTTCTTGTTGGTGATCGAAATCACCCTCAAGCCAAAGAGATACACATGGCTTTGGAAGAGATTGTGCGGAAGATAAGGGTGGCAGGATATCAGCCAGAGACCAAAGAAGTTCTTTTTGATCTCGAAGGGGAGGAAAGCGAAAATGTTTTGAATTATCATAGTGAGAAGATTGCTATTGCTTTTGGGTTCATTAGCCTGCCTCCTCATGATCCTATACATGTGGTAAAGAACCTTAGAATTTGTGGGGACTGCCACTCTGCTACAAAGTTCATATCAAAGGTTTTCGATCGTGAAATTATAGTGAGAGATCGGTGCCGTTTTCACCATTTCACGAATGGTACATGCTCTTGCTCCGATTATTGGTAACCGCTCATCATCATCATCCAAGCTTTATCTCAATTATTTAGGGTCTGCCGTATGAATTATGTTCCTCCATTCTTCTCAAGATGTGACAAAATTTTACGTTGGTTGTCTATTTAACGCAATCTATATCCTTTTCCTAGGCTTGAGACAGGTTAGGGAAAAGGTTAAGATCCTCACCCTTATTAGACCAATTATTGGTAACCATTGATTAAAAAGTCAATGCCTCGTGTTCGGACTCATGTGAGCTACTTGGAAGTGTGAGGCCCAGATGAAAAAAGTTTATTCTCATGTGTATCTCATTGACTCAGCCAAGTCGGTTGCTGACTCGGGTTCAAGAACCCAATGAATCTAAGCCCAAGTGTGGGCTAATCATTGCTGGCAATCGCTTAGTGGTGCATTGAATCTTTTAATTGGGGCAAAATGGCAGCTTAGTTGGGCCATATGTTGATCAAGAGGCAAGACCCTATCTATCTAAATCAAAGCATGAGAAAAGGATCATTCCTTTGAGAAAGCAGTAGGGCTGGTTTAATCAGTATAAACTCTACAGAGGGTATATTAGGTTGTGATACTATTACACTAAATCCTGTTACATCAATGTAAAAATAAAAAAGAAAAGAAAAGGTGAATAGCAAAAGGCAAGAATTGTTTGACAGTTTAGAGAAACCTTATGAGCGCTTAACTCTACAAATGAAACTCTTTGGCACTGGAAATGGAAGAAATTAGTACTTCATTCTTGAGAATGTTTGGCATATTCTTACAGAAGACTTTACACAATCACTTGGGAAAAAAATTTACTCGGAAGGTTTTTCCATATGAAATTTTTAGATTCACTTTAAAGTGATGATATGTGCATTTTTAGAAAGTGAAAACCAGATTATAAGTTCCTCTACACTTAAATCTGACTGTCCATAAATTGGAAATTTGATGGTCGATGTTCAATCTTGAGACATTATTTTCAGGCACATGTCTATGGATCCCAAAATTGGGGTCCTCGGAAAATATTCGTAGATAGGATTTTGCCCAACTGAGTGAACGAACGATATGCTCCTGCGAGCATACAACATTTTGGCTTGATTTCCTTTGATTGGGTGTATTAGTTTCATGAAAGAGTTGGGTGGAGATCAGCCCTGTCCAATGGCTGGTAAGACCATTCATACCATATTACATCACATCATTTGAGAACTAGGATGGTTGGGAACAAAAGTACCCTTTATAACTTCTCAGGGAAAAGTTTATGTAGAGCTGAGGCTTTAAACAATCAAATACGAGCCTACCTCAAAATGTTCACTAGAAGAGGTTGTTTTGATGCCCAAATATCCTCAAATTGATCATCTCGACATCAAGATGCATGGACACAAGAGAAAAATGGATCTCAACTTTTGGAAATAGTGTATTTTGTAACACATTTTTGGACCATCAATTTTCAAGATTTTCAAGATTTTCAAGTTCTCATAGATCTATCGATCTACACTATTTTTGAAGTTTTAAATTGTATAACTAACGATGAAAATATATTTTAAGGCTATCACAGAGATTTCTAATATTCAAACCACATTTCTCGAAATTATTTGAGCGTAGGCTCTAATTTAATGGTTCAGATCCTAGGCTCTATATAAACCGCAACTTTTATCTTATATTTCCAAAATTCATGCATTTAATTTGATTTTAAATTTAAATATCCTGAAAATTTTTATGAATTAAAATAATGAGAATTTGAGATTTTAGGGATCCCCCATCCAAATAGAAAATCCCAACTCTAATAAGGTGTTGATCTATGAAAATAAAATTGTAGCATGATCTATGTGATCACAGTGAAATTGACCAATGGGCTCAATAGTTGGATGGTGATATACAGAAAGTAACCATGTACCTTTGGCACAAGGAGGTCGCATTCACTTTTGTTTGTCATATTTCAAATTAAATAACTTTGTGACACAGCAAAGCTATCAGATTTCACATCAGATGGTTGTAAGTAATTATGATCACCGTGTATCAAAGGTAAATGCTCTCATTGTCTACAATCTCAATGGTAAAACTAATACTCCTTAAACTGAAAGTTCAAAAAGTATCTCTCAAACTCTATGATACAATTGAAGCCAGCTAATTTGACATCTAATGGCTAGGCATAATTGTGACGTGATTTTAGCAAAAATAATTGTTCACGCATTATACGATCCTTATTATGACCGTATAAATCATGTTATTAGAGTTGTTATATTGGTTAGGTCTACTCGGAGCGGTCCAGCCTTGAACCCATCAAATTTGACAAGGAACAAGCCGTCGGGGCACATGCCCAAATCGGCTCAACCCCTGCTAGTTCGGGTGCGGGTCGTTCCCGACCCGGCCCATTTGCCACCCTAATTATTATACAAATGGTGCCTTGCCTACGTCCATTGGCATTTTCAATGTCCTGAGGTCACTTCTTTCTGTTTTTTATAGATGTGTTGATGCTATGGGTATATCCAATTAGCATCACCAAGTGAGATCACGTGTTGTTCTATATCCCTTCATACTCGTGACCAAACAAGTGTTCGTAAAATCGAATCGGAACAGTTAAACGTACATAAGCTCGAAAGCGGTTTAACTAGTCTAATCGGTAAATCAACAAATTCAACCGTTCTAATGGGACAAGTCCCGCATAGTAAAAAAAAGTAGTTTAAAAAAAAAAAAGAAGTAAAAAACAAAACTACTAAAATATAAAAAAATATATAAAAAATGATTTAAAACAAAACACATTCAAATGAAGTTCAAAATCAATAAAAAAAAATAGATTTTAACGAATCGATTTGTACCTAGGGGTATTTTTAAAATTTTATGGAAAGATAGAAAAATATGAAAGTAAGTATTAATAATCAAAACAATGTATTACAAACCAATTCCTTATTTTTGAGAATTTATATACATTTTTATGATTTTTTTAAAATACCGATCGATCACCAAAACCGCCCTAAACCGAAACTGGCTAGTGGCCGATTCCAATCTAACCGAGCGGTTAGCAGTTAGATTGCCCAATTTTTCCAACATTGATCCAAACTGTGTATGGATTATATATA